TGTTCCATGTTATGTCTAAGATACTCAGACAGATAGTGAGGTTCAGCTCAACTGCCTATGTTATAGGGTAATAATATCGTTAACCTTCTTTTCTGGAAGGTTAACAACTTAAGATTTTGACCAAATATTGGAGAAAAAGAGGAACTGTATGGTCAGCCAACATTTTGGCCCTAGGCTTTCGTGGTCAGTGAGGACTCAGGACATAGGAGAACCTGTACTGTGACATCCTGTAACTCAGTTGTGTCCCAAATTTTCTGATCAAGGAGATAATGGGGCCACAGAAGAAAGTGATCAATGATATAGAGAGTCCTAAGGAGAGTCCTAAGAAGAGTCCTTTGGTTCTAATATCTAATTTTTTTTTGCCATGCAGCAGTCCTTAAAAGACCAATTTAAGCAAATTCAATAAGAAAGCATATTTGCATACACAGAATTTGCCTTTGCGTTTTGTTAGAAGTGTTAGTGTTGAGGCTAAAGTGGAGCAAGTTGAAATGCATTGTCTATATGTGGATGCTAGGTATTAGGTCTCCCTCCATATTGAAATTATTTCATTTGAAAAGAAAGTAGTATATGTAACTATTAAAAACAAAAAATATTGAATGTTTTCATTAGAGAGCTATATAAAACTTTTATCTTTTTAATATAGTTTTGAAAAAATTTAATTCCAAATAAAGAAAGCCAGTCTCTCATCTAATTAGTAAATTTTAGGGATGTATTGAAATAAAATAGTATGCAAAACAATGGTACTTGCTTGTTATCCCAGTTGAAGGGCTTATTTCCAGGTTTCCAGCATTATTCAGCATTTGTTGTAAAACGGACTGAACTCTGCCTTTCATTGATTCAGGATTGCGACGTTTGCTGAATCGAAACTTCATGACAACATCTGCTGTCACACGGTTACCTTCTTGCCTGTAAATCACAAAATCACAAAGTGAGGAAAATCCCTATCAACCAAAAATAAAAAAATAATTTACTACACACTAGAATACTCAATGGGCTTCCATTTGGCAAGACTTTGTTGTACTGCAAAATATGGAGTTGGACTGGAGGTCTCAGA